AGTTTGCAAATCGTAGTAGAACAATTTACTTAAATTAGGGTCTGGCTCGCGAGGGTCTCGAGACGTTCGATGTTTTATGCACATTTAGTCGGTGCACGAGGCCTTTATGGTCGTATTTCCTTTATACGAACTCGGAAAATTGCAAAACATGCTTTAATTAAAAAATCGAATTAATGCTAATCCTTTCTTTTGCTGTAATTGCGAAAGGTAATTTGATATTTCCGACCATCAAAGTATTCAAAATGATTGGCACGATATCGTAATGTTTTTATCAATTTATTAAAAATGAGCGAAATGTGGAGAGTTTTTGAGGAAGTAGGAAGCACAAGTGAAAAAATTCCCATTCAGGATGATCAACTTTTTCACTTTTACAAATTTTTACTAAATTTATAATTTCTCAATTTAAAATTTGATTGCCAAACCTTTTTTGCATTAAAAGCATTAATTAGGTCGATGCCATCAGCTCGAAATGTTCATTAGAAATAAAAATTGTCAACTTAGTGCCTGACGATTTTTAATTTAGTCCATAACTTTTAGATGTTGAACTTTTTTAGTTTCAAACAAAGAAACAATTTCAGTATAAAACCAGTAATGTAGGCTTTAAACCTTATTTTTTGCACGTTGCAAATAAAACTGAAAATGCCGCCTATTTTCTCATGATGTTTGCGACGGAAATCCTGAAAGTTTCACTTAACGACTTTGTTTAAACTTTTTCTCAGTTTTTTTAACGTTAAACTGAGAATCCTAACTTTTATGCATCTAAACGTATCTTTTTGTCCATCTAATCTATCCAGTATCTAAAGTTTGGCTTATGCAGGTCTAAAATCTAAAAATTTATTACCTAAAAAGTTATTAAATTTGTCGAAAATCGAGCGAATAAAAACATGAAATTTCAGAAAATCATAGGATAATCCTTAGTTTAATCGAGCAAAAAGTTTCATCCAGTTTAGACTCTATTTCGATTTTCAGGAATTTTTCTTGCCAAAAGAAGTAGTGATCTGCAGCTATGCAAGTCTAGTTTTAAAAATTCATAATTTTGAAAACCGAGCGAATAAAAAGCACAAATTTCAGAAAATCATAGGAGAACTCTTTGTTTAATCGATCAAAACGTTTCTAGTTTAGTTTGTATCTGGAGTTTTAGAATTTTTTTAGGCCTCGAACTAGTGAACCGCTAATATGCAAGTCTAAATCCAAAAATACATAACTTTGAAAAACGAGCTAAAATTTCAGTAATCTGTAGAAGACAGTTTTGCTTGAAAGCACAGAAAATGTTCCTCATTTAGCACTGATCGTTGAGTTTTTTATTTAGTAGTTTTTTTTTGCTCAGACGTTATGAATTAGGTATTTGATTAAATTCGTCGCAATTATGCAAACCCGAATGTAAAAATTGCAAAACTGAAATTTGTGAAATCCCTAGAAGAAACATTTGTTTAAAATTCTGGAAAGTTTCATTCATATGAGAATGACTGCTGAGTTGCTTATTGAGGACTTTTTCTGAGTCAAAAGCAGTGTGTCTATAATGAAATTGTTCACTCGAAAACCCGAAAAAGAACAAGTTTTTTAACATCAGTTGATGGTTTATTAGAAAAATTGTTTCGTTCAAAAATTGATTATTTGAACCTTTTTTCTTTACTGATTTGCTCGTTGGACTTCAATTTTCATTTTATTTGGCTAACGAAATTATTTCTCTAGCTGAAGCTTTCTTCAATCGTAAGCCTTGTGGGACAATGTTACTATTGATTATAAGATTTTGTCCATCCTT